AAAAAATCGATTCTTCTGTTTTGTTTTAAATAGTAGTTTGAAGTCTTAGAAATAAGATACAAAAGGTCCTGGCCTTTAAAACGAGTATATTTTCTCTAAGGAAGCTTCTGTGCGAGAAGTATCAAATAGAACTGAAGAATAGACCAGAGTCCCTCCAATTATTTAAGGGGTCAGGACAATGTGAAATTTTAAAAAAATCGATTCTTCTGTTTTGTTTTAAATAGTAGTTTGAAGTCTTAGAAATAAGATACAAAAGGTCCTGGCCTTTAAAACGAGTATATTTTCTCTAAGGAAGCTTCTGTGCGAGAAGTGCCAAATAGAACTGAAGAATAGACCAGAGTCCCTTCAATTATTTAAGGGGTCAGAACAGTGTGAAATTTTCAAAAAATCGATTCCTCTGTTTTGTTTTAAATAGTGGTTTGAAGTCTTAGAAATAAGATACAAAAGGTCCTGGCCTTTAAAACGAGTATATTTTCTCTAAGGAAGCTTCTGTGCGAGAAGTGCCAAATAGAACTGAAGAATAGACCAGAGACCCTTCAATTATTTAAGGGGTCAGAACAGTGTGAAATTTTCAAAAAATCGATTCCTCTGTTTTGTTTTAAATAGTGGTTTGAAGTTTTAGAAATAAGATACAAAAGGTCCTGGCCTTTGAAACGACTATATTTTGGGGTATAATAATAAATCCGAGGATACAGAATAATTGAATTTGCATCACTGTTTACAACTATAAGCAGTATTGTAAAGTGTAAATCATGCGATTCAAATGTTACTTTTGATGAATTGAATATCAGTGGACTTGGATTCAATTTAGTTGTGAATTGTAAGAACTGTGAGCTATGATGTATAAGTAAAAAAAGTAAGTAAAGGATGCATGTGAAAAATGACGTTCTGAAACTTTAAACGCGAAACTAGGTTTTCAGAAACGGTGTGCAAGATATCTCGGAATTTATCCAACCGATTACTGTGAAACTCGATACGTATCTTTAGTGTAACATTTACTAGAGATAGACGATCGAACATTTCTTAATTTTTAACAATTTCGAAAAAATATAAATAAAAAAACGTAGAAACTTTTGGCATAAATTCGATACATCAAAAACAAATAGTTGCTATTTTCATAATTTTCACAGAAATGAAAATGTTGGATCGTCAATCTCTAGAGAATATTGTTTACTTTTGAACTTTCTTTGCCTTTTCATTGCATCTAATTCTGTTTGGCTGGAAACATGCACACCGATAGGCAATGTAAAAAAAAAGTTACGTAAAAGAATGCCGTCAAAAAGTTAAATAAGAGCTCTCTTCTTTCCTTTTTTAATAAAAAATGTTTAAATGTTGCTTTTTATAGTTCATAATGTGTTAAAGTAAACCACAAAAGCTCATGTCAGACAAATATGTACTTTTTTTTTTACTAGCCCCCCAAAGTATTCGTAATTTTTAGGCCCGAAAATTCCAGTATGAAGTATGAACTTCTCGAATGAAAAGAACATTTCATTTAAGAGTCCACCAAGATAAAACTAACATTCGATTGCAATTAAAGAGGGAAATGAACGATTAACTCGGCTTCGAGCTTGTACCGACAAGCAGCTAGCAACTCGAGCTCGTTCCTCCCCGGGTGAATTTAAATTTCACCGTTGGAGCCTTCGACCTTAACGCGAGACGGCCATCGTTTCGCGTTAAAAATGCAAGCATCGTTCTCGCGGGACTTAACGGTGGATCCACGACAGCCTCGGGTGTAGTTTCCACCTTTTGATAATTCCATCGTTCGTTACACAGCGATGGCGGGTGTTTCACCGGCAGCGGAACCGTGCCGCCGATGCTCGGTGGCACACGATTATTAATCTAAATGCGAGCGCGAACGAGAAACGCGTCGCGGTGTACCGCAGCTTTACCAGTAATTTTGGTCGTGCTGTTGCCACGTGCGCACTCACACACGCCGAGCAATGTAATCAACCTCCCCGAACGATCCGCTTCTTTCCCTGTTGCGTTGCAAGTCGACGACCATTTCGTTCATAGAGGGCGCGCTAAGTATTAAAAAAGACAGACATAACCTATAATATCGAAGTATTATAGGTTATCACCGAGTATATCTCGATCTTGAACGATTGGACATTGTTTTATAGGGCGCGCTAAGTATTGAAGAAGACAGACATAACCTATAATAACGAAGAACGTACCGAGTATCTCGATCTTGAACGATCGAACTTTGTTTTATTGAATTTGTTTTAAGAATAGAAACGAGAAGAAAATGTTGTGTAAATTGTTTGGGGCCAATTATAGAAATATGAAATTAATATAGGTGTATTTCTTCGTTCGAGAATATTGGGGAAATGTACTATCCACTAACACTTTGGAAATTATATTAACGCGTCTACTCATCGAAACCAATCGCAACATCATCTTTCAAACGATGTTGTATTGTCGATATTATACTATTACATATAATGATACAATATTAAGAGTATTATAATACAATAATATTAATAATACAATATCATACAGAATAGTATGAATATGTTTTTGCAATGAGTTTCGATAATAGCTGATTTAATATTATTACTGTATCATATATAATATACATATTATTATATATATTACGTATTATATTGTACCATTAATATTATTATATTGCTTCGTGGTGCGACTTCTTTTTTTTTTTATAAAACATTTACAGATCCACGTCTATGTAACATTTCCCTCTCATTTCTGCATTACAGGACAAACTGAAGTTTGATCATTCATAGCTGAGACACCCCGTGTGAGAATACGTAATAGAATTTTGTATTTAGGTTGTTGGATGTCGTATCTGGTAATTGAGTTTGCGAGTTCTTGATTTTAAATTTGCGAGGGGGTTAATTTTTGCAGGGCGGCTAGCCGACTAAATTAATCGAAAAATTATACGGTTACTGGGAGAAGGAATTAATTAAAATGGTTCATCAAGTTTATTGGGAAAGAAAGTATAGTATGGCTCCGTTGATTGCGCACTAAATGGACTCGTTAACTTAATGGCAGTTATTTCTATTGCTCCTTGGAATAAATTCGCTGCTAAACGAGTAAAGAGCAAATTTTATTTATATCTTGCGAGTAGATTGAACTCGTCCAATGTTTGCTGTACTTTAAACACTTTGAATGATTTTAGTCGGTGTTTCGATGAATCAAACCTCTGTATTCCATTATTTTGACGTAGGCACGAAGCAGCGTGAGAACGATTCCGATGTACAGTGAAGAGCATAACTGTATCAATGACAGTAAAACTGATACAACTTCAATATGAAGTCTCTACTCTCATAGTTGTTTCTTTTTTTTTCAAAAATAACTTTACGTCATGTTACAAATGATGTATAATTGTTAAAGAATTTTTGTAACAACTAGGTTCATCATCATTTTGTAGATCGAAGTCTCCATTTTACGATGAGTCCTCGAAATATGTTGTACGAGTTTTTTTTCACCATTTTCACCAAAAGTTCAAGAAATCATGACATTTCATTACTTAATGTTCCAAGTTTAACAAAATGTAAACATATATAGCGAATAAATAGTAAACATATATAGCGAATTTTAGCGACACGTTGTAAAGAGAAAACTTTAATTTTTCGAGACACGTTGTAAAGAGAAAACTTTAATTTTTCGAGACACGTTGTAAAGAGAAAACTTTAATTTTTCGAGATCAAGTTATGAAAAAAATTTCTTAACGTTTAAACAACGTAGAAATAATCAAGAATAAAGGTACTTTTACTTTCTCATCTGCCACGTGATGGCAAATCTGATAAAAACATGTTTGAAGAAAACCAACTCAGAACAGTCACAGTTCACAATTTAAAGTATCGGGCAATTCTCGCAAAATTTACAACATACGTTTTTGCAATTTGCAATTCAGTCATGCTGTTCGCAATAAATTAATTTGAATTATCGCCGATTTTTCATCGCATACAGAAATTTATGGCTACGCTGTTCGCCGTAAGTAAGAAACACAAACGGAAAGTTGAAATTTCGGCGAGAACCGAGTTCCAGGACAGGACAGGACAGATTTACTCACGTCTGTGGAGATTTCCTCGGCGGCTCGTCGGTGGCTCGTCACTTGGTCCGTGGATCGATCGCCGGCGCATCAATGTGTCGCTCCTGATCGCTGACTCGAAGATACCTCGACGACGTAAGTGGCGGCAATCCCCGCGTCGTACGCGTGACACTGAAACACCAAAGACGGATGGACCTCTATTAAATCAGCCGTTGGACGACAGGTTTACGACGGTGATCGATATCGCTGGATCCCACGGCATCGGTGATAGTGGTGGCCATTGTTGGTAACATGGTGCCCCATTCGCGTTTCCCTCATTCGCGCTGCCCTCCAACGCGGCCGTTATTAAATTCCTGATACGCGCGCGTCCTGCGAGGCCACCGAACGATAATTAACGCGGGGCTATACATTTTTCACGGCACTTTTAATTGCGACGCTGCATCACGTTGGCCGGCTCGCTTTAATCAGGCCGAACTAATTTCCTCGCGGCCCACCGCGCCGCCACTTGGGCGAAACTTGTCGGCCATCGCTACCGCCGACGCGCTGCATGATTAAAAACTTTTGCCCACTGACCGGCGAGGTGACTCCTTTTTAATTTGGATTCAAGACGGTGACCGTGAAACCGTGAGATTGCCGATCCCGGGATCGTCTCGCCGGGTTCGGGGGCTGAGCCTCGTGATTGCGAGACCTGACTTCGTACGTTCGTTTCGCTTCTGTTGGCCGATCGGTGAAAAGTCAAAATGTACAAGCGAATTTCAGATGGGGCTCGTTGTAAAGGGGAAATTTCAATTTTCGAGACGGTGGCGGAGTCACGAAGGAAATTTGTTGACGTTCTTAACGAGAGATAATCAAGAATAAAGGTACTTTTACTTTCGACACGAGGAGAAAGAGGTCGAATGAGTGAGGTTAGGTAAACTGCGAGCAGACCAGGCACGCGATCGATGAATTTGTTGGGAAATCTCGACGCAATTCTAATTCAACGTGTGTAGCGCGTGCTTGCTCGTCTCGAATTGTTCTCTGCATTAATCTTTCGTTTTCGTAATCTTCGTCGAAGCTCGGTATCTTCACGCGCGAAGCTATTTCGTCTTGCTGCTGAACAGATGCAGCAGCGTATCAATTTCGCTCGAAGAAATAATAGACAATCGTAGAAAAAGCTCTGTATAGAACAAAGGACTTTTTTTTCACAAATCTGGAACTGTCAGTTGCAAAAGCGGCCGTTGCAACTGCACGTTATTAGCTGTCGCGCGAGCGTGGTAACCCGGGCTGAAATAGTCACGCGGCACAAAGGGTACGGCAGATAGACGTAACAAAAGAGAATACGGGGTCAATCGGGCAGCGAGTGCTGCTAGTAAATCGATACACAGGAAAATGAACGAAAGCTGACGATAAAGGGAAGATTGATTTACGACGGTTTATCATTGGCCTGGATGAATGGAAAGCAGTCCATCAACTGTGTCGCGGAGGAAAAAGTGTGCGAATCGGCCGAACGTTACTATGTTACCGCGTCTAGGTCTGTAATTTCACGACGAAAACTTAGGATCATCGTCGATTCGATGTCTCTTCTCAAAATCATCAATGATACCCATTTTTTGTCCTACGCTTCTCCGACACATTTTATTTTAATTTAATTTAATTTTTTTTTTTTTATATGAAGGTTTAGAGTCGCATCGACTACGAAGTCTTTAGCGACGTGCTGGAATTTTCTCTTTATATCTGGTCTAGTAATTGGGTCTCCTAATTGAGACCCAATATATTGGGTCTAGTAATTGATAACGTTTTTTAGTTGTTTCTGGCAGGTTAGAGCAGTGTTTTGGTTTAATCCGTATTTAGTTCTTAGGTTTCGGTATTTTCTGCATTCATGTAGCAGGTGTTGAGTGGTGATTTATTGGTTGCAGGTGTTGCAGAAAGGTGGTTCTGTTTATTCTTGTGTGTGATCTTGGAGTGTCCGATTCGAAGTCTAGTCATGGCTATCGTTTCTTTTCTGCTTATATTGTTGTTTGGTATTTTTTGATAGAAATGGTGTATTTTGGTTCTATTTGTCGTAGTCTAAATTCTGTTGCATTCTTCTCTTTCCGCTTTGGTCGTTGAAGCTAGTAGGTGTGGGATTGGCTAATTTAATTTAATTTTAATTAAAGATAAACTTTTTTAAGATTGCTCAGACTTTTTAAAGATTTTTAGAACATGCGTGACAAGATTGTTTACTTAATTTACAATCCACGCATTCACTTATGTTCCATCATGTGTTTTCGTAGACTGCTCAAGACAAACAGAGATAAAGTATTTGCATACACGACGAGAAATTGTCTATTAAACTGTTATAACTTCGTCAAAAATAGTACAAACAATCTAGTTGGCTACATTTTTATGCATGAAATCTCTACTTTGACAGACTTACGTTAGTTTTTGTCAAAAATGGTTTTTACATTGTGCAACAAGTGGACAAACAAGGATGCTTCTGTTCTGGAAAATTATAAAAATTCAAATATCTCTGAATACATTAGAAAATTTGTTTCACGAGTGGGTCTACGATGATCTTGAAGACTGAAATCGACTCTTTAACAACGATCTCTCGAAACTTGCTGTACGATTTATTGAATTTCGAACATTGAGATTAATACGAATTTCTTGAGTTTCTATTGTTTCACTCCGATATTCAAGGTTCGATAAAATGGCGAAGAAAAATCGAATACAGCAAGTGTCAAGGGCCTGATAAAAAAAAGGATTGACGATGGAAAAGTTTTTCAGTGACTTTGGAGGCGTTCAAATTTTTGCTGTTTTCAACGACAAAAGTATCCTTGCTTTTCTACCTGCTGCATGATGCAAAGAAATCTTTTGAAAAAAAAAAAAAAGAACTCAAGACTGATAACGTAGAAGCTACGCTATAAAATTGAGGAAAACTGAATCATTGCACGATTCTGTTTCACAGAGAAGTACAAACAGTTTAAAGTCGACAATTTTTCGATTAAAGAATGCCAATATTTTTGTCCACCTGTCTACGTATCTTCAGAATTGAAACAAGCAAATGAATGAAAACAATTTTGAGGAGACGACGATTACTTTACAGATGATCGAACGAAATGACGAAAGATCAAGTTATATCATGTACGATTTACTTACTGTACGAAGAATTACGTACAATTTATTAATTAGAAGAAATATTTACTTAACAAAAGAACAAGTGTTTCGCGTTTTGTATCAGCGTATCCAGATGATACACGGATCCGATGACTTCGGAATATCCGAACGTCATGAGAAAAGAAATTGCGGGAAGCAATCTCGCCACCTGATACAAGGTAAGCGCCCAATTCACCCGATGCAGGAACATTCAAATCTCACTGCACGTTCATCGAAACGCGCGCGAGATTGTTTGGCGGTTCCTTAAGTGAATGGCGCGTTCTCTTTCTCGGGTTTTCTCTCGGTCGTTCGCGGCCCCTTTCAATCCGCCGGCGCGAATATAAGGGAGAAAGAATCGTGGAAATGCATCGATGGCTGCGGACGAAAGGAAAGAGCCGGCGCACACGGAGAAAACGAAGGGTTCGAATCCAGACTCGTCGAAAGCCGACAGGGTGACAGGGGACGAGGGTAAGGTTAGATGGAACTGTGCTTACGTGTACGTGAAACCGTACTTACGGGACGTGTACGACGAGCGCGACGCGGTTGTTATCTAAACGCGCTCGAGGGGGCGAGTTCTTAAAAGGGGTGGCTCATTGGCGTGCTCATACGGCGAAGGTGACGGCACACGCGCGTACGAAACGTGCAGGTGTAACTACGATTGCAGAAGTGACGCGGTGTGTGATCCAGTTTGCGTTCGTGTGTTGTGAGTTCGCGTTCTTTGGAGTGCAACCCCTTCTTTTTTCTTTTTTTCTAAGCGACACCACTCTCGTCCCTCGACACCTTTCACGCAAACCCTCCTCTGAACCGCTCCTCTCCACCCTTCTTTCTTGCTGGCTCCAGTCATCTTGCTCTTTCCCTGATTGTGCGCCGATGCGAGTGTGGAAAGGCTCGCGAACGACCGCGTCGCAACTTGGGGGAGCACAATGGAACAGTACGAGACAATCGACGATTCACGCGGGCCTACGCTGAATGAAAATGTCCCTGTTCGCCGCTAAATTAGTCGGGATTCGCGGCAGTGCCAATGATCCACCGACCACAATGCGAATCCTCCTTTATCGCCATGATTCTAAGGATCTAAGGGACTGTCCGAGAGACAGTTTAACAATCAGCAACTTTACTTTTATACATTCAAAGTATTCGTTTTCTTGAGTAATTAAAAATTACGAATATTTAATTTCGTTAGAATTAATTAATGCAGAGTATCTTGAATTTTAGTGGTCAAACTTTGCCGTTCTATGGACGGAAATATTGTGCTAGAAATGATTCACAAAATAATCATAATGATTCCTTTATCAAATTTCATTGTCAACTTCGTCGAATGTTTTGATTTTTGTAATCAATTCATCTCATATCAATGTTTGCTTTGCTACGATAACGAATATTTTTCTACAAATATAAATCTGAAGATGTGAGATCTAGCGATCTAAGAGATCAAGAAGTTGAAATTATTTGTCACGTCTCATATTTCTACAACCTATTAACAAAACATTTTTTTTACTTTTTTTTTCTTTACTTTTATGTGATATTTTAATCCAACTTTTGCCTATAGAATACGCTGGCAAATACTGAAATTCGAAACACCGTGTATAATATATAAATTTGGGGAGAAACGTAAAAAATTTTAACAGAAACGTAAATTTTAATTTTACGTATGTCTAACTGTGAAATAGTTTCATGTCATCGATAAATTTGTATTCATTTCTGACAGGATATTATATTACGCGCGCTTTTACCGCTACATAAATGATCTTGCAGTAATTTTCAATTTTTCGCGTCGGGGAGTTTAATGCAAACGATATCAAGGTCCCCGGGGAGTCAAAAAGTTTGAAAAGCGCCACGTTACGAAAACCATTATAATTAGAGACTGAGGCCAGTTAATTTTGAATGAACTTGTACGAACTTCCTTGAACTTTTGCTCTCTAATTTTCGTTCATTATTTTTACGCGCCGCAATTCCTTCACGATGAAATTTTCACGATTTTACTTATATTTAATTTCACTTGTTGCCATTCTTTCTCGAGCAATCACGTCGTAAGTTATATTAAAACGTTTTGCAA